TCCTTTACCATTCTTTATTTAAGCAAAAGTGTTTTGCATTATCGATTATTTTAAATTTTATGATTCCCTCGATTTCTATAGTAATATATTGTCTAATTTTTAGTGTTTTTTTCGATTTTTTCCTATGAAGATGAAACTTAGCATTTGCTTTTTAAGGGTTAAATGGGCCGCAACATAAAAGAAAATTTTTCAAAAATCGAATATAAACATTTCAGTTTGCTATTAGACACATTATCTAAAATTCAATAGTTTTAGTATAAATTTCATTGATATCTTCAAAAAATACAAGAGATAAGATGCTAAAATTTGGACAAAATCTTAGTTACGTATACCTTAATTTCAATGCAAAATTCACTCAAATCAAAGGGGAGTTGAAAATCACGTTTTTGATCGATTTGATATGGAATGGCCCTTAATCTTTTTTATTTACTATATAACTTAATGTGCAAGGCTATCATTGCCAAATAACTAAACCAGAGTGGGACACCACTATCATGACGCTCTCTTCGCTTTTTAGCCACCGTCATGATGTGTAGAGTAAATCGGCCAGTGTAAATTATTTTCATAATATACTGCCTAATGTGTTTTACAAATCTATTCTCATTTATAAGACGAACCTGCCATTTTTTTATTGTATTGTATTTTATTTATATTTAATTATTTGATAAAAACAAAGGTAGAGTTTAATTTTTTATGGAATAATTTTAAATTGAAAATTGTATTAATTGATTATTATATTATTCACGATTTAAAATTGACGTTTTGGATTATACTCGAAATAATTTAAATTAAGTGTATCGTCATCGTCATTATATTTATTTTTTAAATAAAATTTGGAAATAACTATAAAATTCATTCACGTTTTTGAAAATGTTACCTTGGTGGTGAGACAAATACAAGTATGCGAAGTAAAAGAAAATGTATAATGCGTTTGTTGATTTGGAGAAAGCATTTGAGTGTCGCGCGAGGTAGATGGGCCTTGAGAAAATCAGGTGTGGATGAATAGTTGGTTATGGCAGTGATGACAATGTATGTGGGAGTACAAATTCCGGTAAGGATGGATGATGGAGATAGTGAAAGCTTTGAAGTGAAGTAGAACTTCATCAAGGATACCTGAGCCCATTATTAATTATCTTAGTACAGAATGTAGTGTTTAGATAAATGCGTAAAGGACTTCCCTGGGAGCTATTATATGCAGATGACCTTGTATTAATGGTAAACAGAGAGGAAGAATTGAGGGATAAAAATATAGATGGAAGATGGCCATGGAAACGAAAATTAACGCAGCAAAGACAAAGGTGATGATTGGTGGGGATACTCTGAAAATGTGGCCTTGTGGTGTATGTGGGAAAGGAGTTACTTAATTCAATCCAATGCACAGATGCCAGAATGGGTGCATAATAGATGTAGCGGGAAAAGGGAAGTCTGATGCTAGCAAGAATGACCTTTATTTGTAGAACGTGTAAAAGGGTTACATAATATTGATAACGTAGAAAAGAGTGGTTTGGATATTGGCAATGGATTAAGCCTCGGAAAAGTGGATAAGTTTTTTTATATGGGTGATATGCTAAACGCAGATGGTGGTGTAGATTCTGCTGTTGTTGCAAGGGTCAGACAGGCATGGAAGAAGTTGAGAGATGTCGTCTATTCTAACAAATAAAAAAGTCCCTCTAAAGTTAAAGGGGAAAGTTTATGTAGGGTGTGTGAGGAGTTGTTTAGTTTATGGCGGCAAAACATGGGCAATGAAAACGACCCACGAAGCCAAATTAGAAAGAACAGAGATGAGGATGGTTAGATGAATGTGTATCTCTGAGAAAGAGAAAAACTAGTAAGGAATTGCGAGCAAGATTGGGTATAGAAATGATTGGAGTGATAATGCGTTGAAGTGGACTAAGATGTTTGGGCATGAGGAAAGTAAGACAAAAGATGACTGGGTAAAGAGATACACCTTGATGTAAGTAGGATAGTGTTGTTATATGGCAACTCAAGATTTTAGCGAGAAAAATATTGCCAAAGCCATGAGATTTAGCGAATAAATGTCCAAACCTTTGTGCCATTTATGAGAAAATCTTCAGGTTTACGTTATTTTCTTTTGAAAAAAATAATGAGTTCGCCGTTTTTAAAAATCGGCTCAAATAGAGCCGTTTAACACTAGTAGGAGGATCAAGACATAGAGGAAGACCCAAGATGATTTGGAATGTAATAGCGACGGATATGAGAAAAATGAATCTTACAAGTATTCATGCTCAGAACCGTCAAAATGGAAAAGAAAAATAGAAGGAAAACTGGCCAACCTGGAAATCGACATTAAACGGAGAAGAAGAATATACTATGCAATTACATTATAAGTAAAAATTAAATAAATTTATTTCTAAATTTTTTTTTATAAAAATTCGCCTAAAAAGAAGCCATAGCTACTTTTGAAAAATAGCAGCTAATAGTGCGCTACTTTTTTTAATTGGTAGCGATATAGGTAGCGCGCTACTTTTTTGACAAATAGCAATAGCGGTAGCACCTACTTTTAAAAGTAAGGTTTAACAACCCTGCTGGGAATCAATTCAATTGGAAAATTATGCCAGGATATCAGCTATATTATCCATAAATATTTGGAATAAATTAAATTCACCTGGGAAATTATTCCTAGATATTCTAATTCCTTCCCGATATAGTATTCGAAGAAATTATACGATTATACATCCTTTTCCGAAGTATACTGATTGGTGTTTCTAGATTATTGAAGTTATATTATTCGGAGGAAAATTATTTAGGCTTTCAAATGCCAAGATATAATTTGGAACTATTCCTCATTTTTCCCAACATGTGCTTTTTTATATTAGCGAATTTGTATTATTCTGAGAATAAGTTTAAAAATTCATATGTATGAATAATTATTGGCATTATTTGAAATAAAATATTTTCATAAAATTATTCGAAATTCTTATTCCGAGCGATGACACCATGCTGCTATATTATCCAAAAATATATTGTAAATAAATAAAAAGCATATAGGAAATTATTAAATTACATAAAAAATTTCCCAAAATATAATAAGGGTTTTGATATTCTCATCCAAATATATCAATTCCTTTTTTGAAATATGATAATTATATTATTCGATCGTATTCCTAAATAAGAATCAAACGGCATCCTAATATGGACGAAAAAGGCGTATTTCTTTAAAATATTGGTGAAATAAATTTAACGGCGCCAAGTAATTTATGATTACATCAGAATTTCTGTCCGATGGCATGAAGAATTCAAGCTAGACTTCGTTAATCGCCATGGTCATTGCTTATTTATAAGAACGACGATGTCCAATCAAGTCACAGTTTATATATTTGGAAAATGATGTGGAACAAAACCGCTGGGAAACAAACTAATGCCCGAATATTTATGAGATTAGTGGACCAAATTTTGGAGCAAAAACACGTAAATCTTTATTCAAAAATTTAAATTATTATGTGCAATGTCCAGTAATATGTTTGAGCATTTTTTGAAATATAAGGACACTTAACATGTAAAGGGTGGGGTTTTATCTTTTTTACAAATCTATTCTTATTTATAAGATGAACCTGTCATTTTATTTATATTTAATTAATTGTTTTAAAAATATTTTTAAAATTAAATTGGAAATAACTTTAAAATCATATACCTTTCTTGAAACTACCAAAGCCTTATTTAATCTGTGTCATAACAAGATTTTTCTAATAATTTAATTTTTCAATAAAAAGAAAAAAATATTTCATAATATAATTATAATTTAAAAATATGATATTTCAAAAGGGTAATTACATTCCTATAGTTTGTGAGCCACATTGTTCAATTCAAACCATAATGATTTATTAACATTATTTAATAACTTGCAAGGTATCCTTATTCTCTCAGGGATAAATAAAATGAGGTTTTAACAAACCTCAACAGTTATTTTATTCCAAATTTTAATGAACTCCAAAATAAAATTTATTATGAAAACTTTGATGTTTTATTAAAACTAGATAACTGTGTTGTAACTTGTAAGCTTAAAATCCATCATGAGTAACTTTTATTTTTATAGTCAGAAATATCTAATTTGCTAATGATAATCAGGTCAGGTGGTTCAAAAACATAGCTAAGATTTAACTCAATTATTCCCATAGCAATTGATACTCCCTTTAATATGGAAATCAAAAAACTGAAAAAGATCCATAATTTATAGAAATAAATAAAATGATTGTATAATTATTGGATGTTCTCTATCTAACCCAATGTATGCTCTTGGTTAACTATATAGTTTCACTCACACAGAAAATTTATTTTAAAGTTGAAAGCTTTTAAAGATTACAATTTTTTTTTACTAAAGGAGGGGTCCATAAAATTTTTCGTAAATGGACTACATATAGTTTTGATAGTGTATATAAAAAGTTTACAATGTTCCCCTCTACCAAAATTTTGAGATATTACAAAAAAAAATAATGTAACTTCAAGAGTAAATAGCCATTTAACAAACCACAAAGGTAATTAAGAAAGTTTATAACACTTTTCAAAATATGCAAAATTATAAATTTTAAATAAAGTGTTTTTTTAATAAATGATCTGCTCATTGTTTTAATTTTAGCCCATAAAACCTTTCATTGCAGACTTCTACATCTTCTAATAATCTTTCCATAATTAAGTATCTTCAAAAAACATTTTAAATTAAAAAAGGAATGTAATACCAAAAAAAAATTCTTAATCCTGACTATTTCCATGATATAATTACATTCGATTTTTAATGATATGATCTAAAAAATGGTTAAAATCTTAAACTTTATTTACTTGTTTGTAATACTGATTCTTATTAAGTACCTTTCATAATATTCTAATAATTTCAAGTAATTTTCAATTTTGGATTTCATTTTACATTTCAATATTAAAAGTATTTATTAAATTTATAACAAAGCTTTTTCTTACAGTAGTGTTTATTTTTGATTGATTAGTCAGAAAATTAAAGTTTTTTATGTTAATTTATTTCAAATGATTACTTATTAAAAATTGTTTCTTGGGTACCAACTAGATATATATCATGATGACAAAATGGCTTTGGCGGAAACAAGATATTTCTAGCACATTTAGGATCTAGTGCCTTAAAAGATTCATTAAAACAAATATTTAATTTGATTACATCTATAGAGCTGCACATATTCCATGTCACTAAAAATATTGTAATATTTTTTTCAGTTCTATATCTTTCAATGATGGTTGAATCATATATATAATTTTTGTAGGGACCCTGAAAAAAATAACTATCCTCTAAATTAATCTTTTATTAACATTGTAAAATACTTGATGTCTGTCATAAGGTAAAAACGGTGCAACAAAATGGACAGGTAAAATGGGAATAGAGAGGTAAACTGGGATTGAACAAACTGAGAATGGACAGGTAAAAAAAACCTTCGCTAACATAGATTAAAATTAGAATTAAAATAGTTTTATAAGGAAATTTAAATTAATCCTAATTAACATTTATCCAATAGACCATTTTTATGTTAGAAATGGAATATGAACTTGATGTAAGGGCTACTTGATTTTGTCCACTCAAAAAAAATAGAACAAGGGGACGTATGTGGAGGTGGAGCTCTCAAATTGGCTTTATATAATGAAAAATTGGCCCCGTTTGATGAACATACTTTAACTCTATTAAAAGATTGCAGGATCTTCCCACTAATACAAAATCGAATTAAGTCGAAATAGGCAAGGAAGAACTTATTGAAAGATTAATTTTTAATAAAAACTCAGCAGAGGGAGTTGTAGGTTTTCGTCCCTCTTATTTCCTAATTTTAATTAACCTTAGAACTCCTATTCAGGATTCATTTGTAAATTCATAAGTAATACTTAGCCAAAATATATTGAACAAAGATTTACCTAGACAAATTCACAAGCCTGATTATGGGGTTATGCCGATTGCAGTAAGTTCTTTTTTTAGGAGACTAATAGCAGGAGACTAATAGCTAAGATTATCGTTGAGCGCATAGGGGTAGCCAGGAAAGGGGGCAAGGGGAAATTCCCCCCCTTTCAGAAATTTATTATTTTTTGTGAATATCATTTTAAGCTAATAACATAAATCCCCCTTAGTTTTCCCCCTCCACTCCCTAAACCCCAAAAATGTATGTATATATCTTAAACAATAATTTGAAAGAAAGAATGTAAGAGTTGATATTTTTTTATAAAACTATCCATCATAATTTATACATTTTTGGAAAAAGGCATTTATATATAAAAAAGTGAACCAAAAATGTGTTTTAAGAAATGAAATATAAGCCAAAGATAAGTCTTAAGACAAAAGTGAAATGTATTATAATTATTAATAATAGATCCATTTACTAAATAATATTATATATCAAATATATTTTTTTATAAAATGAGTAATTTTAATTTATTTATCTTAATAAAAGTAAAATATAATTATAAAATTAATAAAATTAAATCATAAATTAAATAGAAAATTAAAGCACAATACAAACAGTGGAATATTATATGGCGTAGATTTACAGTATATTTAATTTTATCAATTATCATATGACAATCAAGTAATTTTTACCAATTTAGCGAATTATATATTTTACAGAAAACTATAAAATATTGATAAGGACATCAGAAAATATCTTTTAAAGACATTGTGGGATGAATAATTTAAAGATTAATTTTTAATATCATTATTTATTTAAAATAAATAGATGGCGTTAAATAAATGAATGCAAATTATTGCTATATTTATTATCAAGAGCATTGATTAGTAAAATTTGTTAAATTATTAACTGTAATATTCTCTAACTTCAAATATGTCTGTAAAAATGATATTTTACCTAGTATTTTGTAACTAATTCTATATAATAGAGTAATATCAACTATATGTCTACTTTTTATAAATGAATTTCTTATACTTGTTTGGAATAAATTATTACCATGCTTTTATATTAATGTATATACAAGTAATTTATTATATTTTATATAAACTAATAAAAATATATTTCATATTTGTTCCAGGCTTATTTTTTTTATTAAAATTAACCTCCTATATTGTAATAATATTTTATGACTATATATAGATTAAGGTAACCTGACCGAAGGCCGGGCAAAAGCGGGCCAAAGGCAAGCCCAAAATGTGGTCTGGGAACGAAGCCCCTAGAAATTTTTTAAATCCCCCCCTTAGGAAATCCTGGCTACGCCTATTGTTGAGCACATTAAACCTGATGTTCCAAAAATGTTCCAAACATATCAACTAAGTTTTGGTACTAAGGTGGGGGGGGGGTGAAATAGCTGCCCACTCTCTACTTATATATATAAAAGATCCTCCTCCAGACGCCGTAGTTTTTTAGCTGGATTTTAAAAATGCTTTTAATTCTTTATCCAGAAAAGTATTTTTGAACATTTTTTATGAAAAATTTCCAATTTATGCAGGATTTATTGAACAGTCGTATGGCTGTAGAGTAGAACCCCTTTCAAATTCGGGGGATATGCAATTCCTTTTGATGAGAGTATACCACTGTTGCAATATTATATTATTTTTATTTTTGGGTTAATTGATTTTTATGTATAATATTTTTCAAGGATATATTTTTTTATATATATGAAAAATAAGAAAATTATATTCGAGTTAATTTTAATATCGGATATAAGAATTTATTTTATTTTCGCGCAAAAATTTTGATTTATTGGAGAACTTGTAGATTTTAAAATAATGAAGCTTGAATATGTTATTTAAATATCCAAAATTAGAATTATAAAAGAATTTATTTCGGTGTCAATTCATATTTCAGCGTCAGTTCTTATTTCAGTGACAATTCTTATAAACCTCTAGAGGAGTTAATTTCAAGCGTAGTTCTTTATTATTTTGGCTACCAGTAACTCTAGAACAGGCAAGGCGTTTGTTTATTCGCCATTATTTTCTTTGCGTATTTTTAATAGATTCATCATGTTTTGTAACAATGTGAGGGATTAAGGTTGGGTTAGCCTTGACAAATAAAGAAATCAGGCAAAAATATAAATAAACATTATTATTGAAATAAAATGAACATTGAAATACTGTAAACCAGTAGAAGGGTCAATAATCGATAATATATTTAGTAGTTGGAGGGATATTATCAAAATAAAAATAAAAATAAATTTTTTTTTTTTTTGGGGGGAAGGGGGGGGGGGTACTTATCAAGCCTATTATGATATTCTAAAGGTTTATTTTGCATTTGTTCATTATTAATGGCTGGTATATCAATATTTGAACAATTATATAGAGGAAATAAAATGGGGATAGTTTTTTAAAGTAAAAAAAAATAATTCTCAAGTTAATTTTATAAAGTTGGGAATAAAATTAAATACCATTCGGAGAGATCAATTGGCAAGCTTAAAAAAAATAGGAACCTTGTGAATAAGTATAGAATAATTTAAATAATATATAATACCTTAGTATGTATTTTTTTTGGAATAAATATAAAATCATAAAAATAGAAAACCCCGTTTAGGATTTTTTATTGAAAGAATAATAAGGAGAATTGTTAAAAAAGGAACCTTAAGAATAAATATATAATTTTAATTGAATAAAAATAAAAATAAATATTGTAATATATAATGATTTTAGAATAGATATAAAATCATATATAAAAATAATAATAATAAAAATAATAATAATAAAAATAATGTATTTTTTGAGCATTATACAAAATAATCAGCAGGAATGGTGGATCCGACAAAATGGCAAGCTTTTAAAAAAGTAGGATCCTTAAAAATTTTTATATTTATTTAGTTAAATTTAAAAAATGTATTTTGTATAATTTTCAGTTAGACAAAGATAAAAGCGCTTAATGTGCTGCCCAACAAAATGGATAGCCTTAAAAATACGAAAAAATTTCCAAGCATCCAAGATTTTAATAATTTAAAAAGATTTTCTCAAGCCCATTTCAATCCCTAATAATTTTGAAAACCAAGCAAATATTAATTTTCAGAAGTTTTTTAAGCCCAGTCCAACCCATAATAATTTTGAAAAAAATTTCCCAAACCTAGAGATATTAAATTTATAATCAATGAAGGGGAAATCTCGGATTTACCAATTAGTCTATAGGATAAATATATTTCTTTATAAAAATATTAACATAAACTAACATTTAACATTAAAAAATCCCGTTCAAGCCCATAATATTTGGAAAAAATTTCCAAGCATCCAAGATCTTAATAATTTTAAAAGATTTTCTCAAGCCCATCTCAATCCCTAATAATTTTGAAAACCAAGCCAATATTAATTTTGAGAAATATTTTTTAAGCCCAGTCTAACCCATAAAAATTTTGAAACCAAGCCCAGAGATATTAAATTTATAATTAATGAAGGGGAAATCTCTGATTTATTAATTAGTCTACGGGTAAAATATATTTCTTTATAAAAATATTAACATAAGACTAAGATTTAACATTAAAAAATCCCAATATAGGTTCAAGCCTACAATATTTGGAAAAAAATTTCAAGCATCCAAGATCTTAATAATTTAAAAAGATTTTCTCAAGCACAATTCAATCCCTAATAATTTTTGAAAACCAAGGCAATATTAATTTTGAGAAATATTTTTTAAGCCCAGTCCAACCCATAATAATTTTGAAAAAATTTTCCCAAGCCTAGAGATATTAAATTTATAATTAATGAATGAGAAATCTCTGATTTACCAATTAATCTATAAGTTAATTCAGTTAAATTGAATTTCTATATAAAATATTAATAATTTGTAATATTTATTAAATAATGTATTACTTTGACAATAGGTGTTAATATGGTCTCCTACAGTTGCATTAATTTTGAATAAAATTTCCCAAGCCTAGAGATATTAAATTTATAATTAATGAATGAGAAATCTCTGATTTACCAATTAATCTATGAGTTAACTCCTAGTTATATATGCAAAAAAAACATGTGAATTGGTAATAAGGGAAACTGAGAAAGCCTGGACAAAGCACTTATATGAGAATCATGACAAAATAAGGTCTGCACTAATATTATTATAAGAAATAAAAAATATTACCTCGTATTATTGGAGATAACTCCAAAAATGTTTTTTTTTTACATCTTAAACTAATTGGTAAATCAGAAATTTCCCCTTCAGGTGATGATAAATCAATTAAAAATTTAACTATCTCCGAGTGGGAAAAAATTTTCAAAATTATATTGGATACGACTGGAACCTCAAAAATAATATTATCTTGCACCTGACATGGGAATATCTTTTACAAATTATTAAGGGTTGAGCTGGGCTTGATAAACTTTATAATTATATGCTTCCTAATATTGTGAGCTAGGACCTGGCATGACATCTATCGTAAAAAAAAAAAAAAAATCTCATTCCTAGTCATTTTTGATGGGCTTTCTTAATAATTTGTAATATTTAGTAAATAATGTTTTACTCTGACAATTGGTTTTTATATGGCCTCCTACAGTTGCATTAATTTTGAAAAAAATTTCCCAAGCCTAGAGAAATTAAATTTATAATTAATGAGTGTGAAGTCTCTGATTTACCAATTAATCTATGAGTTAACTCCTAGTTGAATTTCTATATAAAATATTAATAATTTGTAATATTTAGTAAATAATGTATTACTTTGACAATTGGTTTTTATATGGCCTCCTACAGTTGCATTAATTTTGAAAAAAATTTCCCAAGCCTAGAGATATTAAATTTATAATTAATGAATGAGAAATCTCTGATTTACCAATTAATCTATGAGTTAAATCTTAGTTGAATTTCTATATAAAATATTAATAATTTGTATTATTTAATAAATAATGTATTACTTTGACAATTGGTTTTAATATGGCCTCCTACAGTTGTATAGAAAACTTAAGTTATAGAATCATCTGTTTGTATAAAATAAATAAATAAAATCAACAAATAAAAAAAATAAAAATACCGATGACATGACGTATGACATGACGTAGCGATGAAATGACGTCACGATGACGTAGTGAGGACATTGGAATTATAATATATATTATTATAATGTTTTTTCAGTAGTTAGTAAAATATATGAATCTTTTTATTCTTATATTTAGTATACAAAATCAAAATCATCATTTCTTATTCAAATTAATTTCAAATTATATAATAATAAAAAAATAAACAATTTACAAAAAATAACAAAAAATAACAAAAACAACAATTTAATACACCATTTATTCCCAGTCTCTCTGATTTCGATCGTATCCTTTTTGGATATCGATCTTGACTTGTTTCTTCTCCCTCTCCTTTCAATTCATTTCATCGTTATTTTTTATTGCATCCTCTTTGTTTACTAACTCTTCCGTTTTCTCTTCTACTTCAGTTCTCTCTTTTAATTGGTATTCTTCAATTAATATATTTTCGGTTCTTTTCCCTAATGTGTCCGTATGACGTATAATCATATTACCCGCTATACTTACTTCATAACGTTGTGATCCGAGTATGCCTTTAATAATGGCTTCTTCCCATTTTTTTTCTTTGTTATTGTAAAGGCGCGACTAAACTTTTTCATTTATCTGGAATTTTTGATTGTGGTATTCTAACTTCTCCTTTTTGTTCCCCCGTTCGAATATTTGATCTAACAATCCTCTAGGTTAAAATTTTAGTAGTATTTTAGCGGGACTTTGTTCAGTTTCTGTCCCTGGTGTATTCCTGTAATTGTAGAGAAAAATAACTAGACTGGTTTCTAAATCTCTCTCGTTTCTTTTATTCATACTCTGTTTAAAAGTTCGAACTAAACGTTCGGTAATGCCATTTGTCTGAGGATGGTAAGGACTTCCGTGCACTAATTGAATCCCGTTTTTTTTATGAAAATTATTGAAATCTTTGCTGCTGAATTGGGGTCCGTTATCAGAAACGATTATCTTGGTAAATCCGAATCTTGCAAAAATATTTCTTAATATTTTTATCGTGCTTTCGGTTGTAGTGCTAGTCATGGGAACTATTTCTGGCCAGTGACTGCTAGCATCTATCACTACCAACCAATAATGATTTTGATATGGTCCAGCATTATCAATATGTACTTGGTGCCATCTATTATATTAGATTTGGGATGAAAATGTTTGATTAAAATATTATGTATTTCTAATACCTCTTTGTTTCCTGGACTATCAGGTGCACATAAATTTACTAGTATTTTGTAAGTATCACACCCTATAGTTGTTAATAACAGAGATTTTTCTTGTGATGATGTTAAACTTGGTTGTGTGTTTTTAAATTCTTGAAATAAGTTGTACCAATCTTTGTAACACAGGTTTGAATCCATTAGACTTTTTATAACGCCATTTTTGTAATGTTTTTTCTGTAGTAGTAAAATATCGAAATCTTTTTATTCTTTTATTTAGTATACAAAATCAAAATCATCATTTATTATTCAGATTAATATCAAATTATATAATAATAAAAAAATAAACGTTTTACAAAAAAATAACAAAAACAACAATTTAATACACATCAATTATATTGCCTTAATTATAAATAATATACTTTATAACTATTAATATTACACATATAAATTGCTGATTATAAATGATATAAATTGCTTTAAATATAAATGATATATTTTATAATTAGTAGTATTATATAACTGTTGCATTTAAAAAATTATAAAAAAAGTAAAATTTTCATTTTTTAAAGAACGCATGTTGTTTTTTTTTTACCATTAACAATATTTATTTATTTCAAATTAATTTTTTTTTATTTCGAATAATAGATAACAGCAGAAGAATTCCATGAAAATGACCAAAAAAACAACTCAAAACTTATCTTAATTCTTTTTATACTATAGGCATTACAATAAACTGGATAAATTGAGACTCTTCATAAGCAAATATTTTTATTAAGCTATAAATATGTTTTTTTCCTAATTAATCAAAATTTTCATGTTTAATCTAATTTTCACAATATATATGTCTACTCTAAAAATAGATAATAGCAGAAGAATTCCATGAAAATGACCAAATAAACAACTCAAAACTTAGATAAATAGATTATATCTTAATTCTTTTTATACTATAGGCATTACAATATTGAGACTCTTCATAAGCAAATATTTTAATTAAGCTATAAATTATAAATATGTTTTTTTCCTAATTAATTAAATTTTTCATGTTTAATCTAATTTTCACAATATATATATTTAGTCTACACTAAAAATAGATAACAGCAGAATAATTCCATGAAAATGACCAAAAAAACAAAATAGATTATATCTTAATTCTTTTTATACTATAGGCATTACAATAAACTGGATAAATTGAGATTCTTCATAAGCAAATATTTTTATTAAGCTATAAATTATAAATATGTTTTTTTCCTAATTAATTAAATTTTTCATGTTTAATCTAATTTTCACAATATATATTTAGTCTACACTAAAAATAGATAATAGCAGAAGAATTCCATGAAAATGACCAAAAAATCAACTCAAAACTTAGATAAATAGATTATATCTTAATTCTTTTTATACTATGAGCATTACAATAAACTGGATAAATTGAGACTCTTTTTAAGCAAATATTTATTTCTTTTTCATAACATTTGTATTTTAAATATGATTACACTATTTAAATATATTATTATAATAAAAATAGATACAATTATAATAATTCTGAATGCAATTTGTGAAATGACAAGGTTTTAGGTAATTGTAATTGATCCTGTATGGGTAGTTCTATATTCTCTTTGGATAATTGTAGATTTTCTTTGGGTAGTTCTAGATTCTCTTTGGGTAGTTCTAGATTCTCTTTGGATAATTGTAGATTTTCTTGATTCGTGATATCCTGCATTATAGAAAGATCTATTTCATTATCTATTTCTTTATTTAAAGCTTTTTTTTTGTTAAAAATAGTGTACTGCATTTTTTTCACTGAAGGGTTAATAAAAATTAAAACCTTTTGATTTGGATGGTCTGACCTTGCCCTCATAACATTATATCAACATTTACTACAAAAGGTATGTAATAATAATAAATAATATTTTTTACCTGCAAGAGTTGTATCTATCTCATAATTTCCAGTAGGGCTTGATTCGATCATAGGAGGGACTAATACCATAAATAAATATTTGGCTTAAAAAAATATATTTTTTACCTGCAATAGTATCTATTTCACAATTTCCAGTGAACGCCTTTATATAACAGCAATAAATGGTGTCATAAAGTTATTTTATTTTTTTATTCAACACGCTTGTTTTTTTTTCTTTAACAAATAAATATTAAAAAAAAGTTGTTTATTATTGTTTTTTAATAAATTTTTTTTTACGTATTTTTTTTATCTAATGGAAAAAATATTGTTTTATTATTTAATAAATTTTTTAAATAAAATTTTTTTTTACGTATTTTTTTTATCTAATGGAAAAAATATTGTTTTATTATTTAATAAATTTTTTAAATAAAATTTTTTTTACGTATTTTTTTAATCTAATGGAAAAAATGGTAATTTTAAAATTGATGATTTTATTATTTAATTTATTTTTATTTAATAGGAATTAAGATATAATTTAGAACTAAAAGATTTTTCTACATTAGAACAGTTTATGAGTAATATAGTATGGACCATAATTTATAACCCAGATTGAAATTTTTCAAATATATTACATGCATATCTTAGAAATATTCATGAAAAGTTATTAATCTAATAATTTTTAAAAAATTTTTATAGATGTTGAGGAATTTAACATTATTCCCAAACAATAGGGCCAATTAATGGGAATTAATTGAATATATGTTTAATCATTAATTAGGTTTTTATTAAAATCTTATGATACTATTAAAAATATAATATTTCATTATATAAATTAACCTTCATGCAATTTTATCTTCATAATATTCATTTAATAACTTAAAAAAAAATTAATGCTAATAATAAAGTAAATTACAACCTATATATCCTGATACACCAGAGTTGTTATGATACTTTTCATATTTATCTAGATAGATACATGGTCTAAAAAGCTTAATATACCAAGATTTATAAATACTATTTTTTATTTTAATCATGTAAGATGAGTGTAAAATATCAAAATAAAATTTTTTCAGTTTGATATTTTATTTATAAAAGAAAATTTGAATGTCTTATTTAATCATGAATTAATGCAATTTTGTCATAATATTTGTTTAATAAATTTAAAAAAATTAATGTTAATAAAGTAAAACAACCTATATATCCTGGTACACCAGACTTGTTACGCTTTTCATATTTATATAGATGCATGGCCTAAGCTTAATGTTCTAAGATTTATAAATACAATTTTTTATTTTAATCATGTAAGGTGAATGTAATATCAAAATTTACTAAATAATATTTATTCAGTTTGATATTTTATATATAAAAGTAAAATATTTTTGTTAGCTTATTAAGACATGGTGACAGATTTATTAATCAAATCCCAAATATGGTATTATTTTTTTACATAACATAAAAATAAATTGGCTGAAAGATACTAAAATAAATTGCAAGGGACTTGTGAAAAACATGAACATCAATGGCTACAGCTTATTCTTATGCCATTGAATTAAAATCCAGGAAAGGCTTCAAATTTTGATCTCTTCAATAAATTGTTTCAAATAATTCTTAATTTTATAACTTTGCTAATGTTACCCCTATTATTTCTATTTATAGGATTTTCACAACCTGTTTAATACTTTGTTTAAATCATTCGAACCTAAAAATTTACTTTATTTTAATATTTATTATATTGTGTAATTTATATATTATTTTTAATGGTTATCAGGCATTGCAAAAAACTATTCTATGAATCCTTCTATGAATATATTTAAACAATATAATTTAACATAAAGAATTATTTTTATTGTTTTTTTTATCAAAAATATTGAATGTTTGTTATTTATAACACAAGAATCTATTTTATATTTTTTATTCTATATTTTAGAAATATATAGAAATAAAATTTGTAAGAATACAATAATATATTATAATTCTATATATATATAATTAAAATTATGTATTATAAAATATAATATAGTATAATTGTAAATATATATACAGAAATAAAATTTAATATAATAGAATACAATATAAATTGCTTTTTATTAGGTTTTTGAAATCTTGATTGTATTGTTTTCTAGAAGCTCTATTAGATTGTATTGTTTTCTGGAAGCTCTATTAGATTGTATTGGGAATGACTAAAATACGCGTCCCCGAAAACTACGCGTCCCTACGCGTCCCCAGTCAAAACGACTATTTTAATTATTTTTAATAGGAAATCTTATTAAGCTTTATAAGATAAGTTAGAAAATGTTTTTTTTAATTTAAAAAAAATACGGTAATTATATAAAATTTACAAAAATTTATTTTTTTAAAAAATTAACTACGCGTCCCTACGCGTCCCCGGTCAAAATACAGTTTTTTTTAAAAATCAAAACGGATTCATATTTAGCGTATTAAAAGAATACAGAATATGTAAATATTATATTTTAAACTATTTTATAACTTAGTGATTTTTTCAAAGAACACTTTTTTTTTTCAAAAACACTACGCGTCCCCGGTCAAAAAACCGTTTTTTTTAAAAAATAAAAGCAGATTCATGTTTAGCTTTTTAAGGAGATTCAGAAAATGGTATTAATAAAAAAAAATTAAAAAAAAAATTTTTTTTAAATATTTTTTTTGGCTAAACTACGCGTCCCTACGCGTCCCCGGTCAAAATACAGTTTTTTTTTAAAAATCAAAACAGATTCAAATTTAGCTCATTAAAAGAATACAGAATATGTAAATATTATATTTTAAACTATTTTATAACTTAGTGATTTTTCAAAAAACACTTTTTTTTTTCAAAAACACTACGCGTCCCCGGTCAAAAAACCGTTTTTAAAAAATAAAAGCAGATTCATGTTTAGCTTTTTAAGGAGATTCAGAAAATGGTATTAATAAAAAAAAATTAAAAAAAAAATTTTTTAAAAATATTTTTTTTTGGCTAAACTACGCGTCCCTACGCGTCCCCGGTCAAAATAGAGTTTTTTTTAAAAAATCAAAACAGATTCATATTTAGCTCATTAAAAGAATACAGAATATGTAAATATTATATTTTAAACTATTTTATAACTTAGTGATTTTTTGAAAAAACACTTTTTTCGAAAACACTACGAGTCCCCGGTCAAAAAACTGTTTTTTTTAAAAAATAAAAGCAGATTCATATTTAGCTTTTCAAGGAGATTCAGAAAATGGTATTAATAAAAAAAAATTTTAAAAAAAAATTAAAAAAAAAATTTTTTTTTGGCTAAACTACGCGTCCCCGGTCAAAATACAGTTTTTTTTAAAAAATCAAAACAGATTCATATTTAGCTCATTAAAAGAATACAGAATATGTAAATATTATATTTTAAACTATTTTATAACTTAGTGATTTTTTCAAAAAACACTTTTTTCGAAAACACTACGCGTCCCCGGTCAAAAAACTGTTTTTTTTTAAAAATAAAAGCAGATTCATGTTTAGCTTTTCAAGGAGATTCAGAAAATGGTATTAATAAAAAAAATTTAAAAAAAAAATTTTTTTTTTGGCTAAACTACGCGTCCCTACGCGTCCCCGGTCAAAATACAGTTTTTTTTTAAAAATCAAAACAGATTCATATTTAGCTCATTAAAAGAATACAGAATATGTAAATATTATATTTTAAACTATTTTATAACTTATTGATTTTTTCAAAAAACACTTTTTTCGAAAACACTACGCGTCCCCGGTCAAAAAACCTTTTTTTTAAAAAAATAAAAGCAGATTCATGTTTAGCTTTTCAAGGAGATTCAGAAAATGGTATTAATTTTGACCGGGGACGCGTAGTTTAGCCAAAAAAAAATTTTTTTTTTTAATTTTTTTTTATTAATACCATTTTCTGAATCTCCTTGAAAAGCTAAACATGAATCTGCTTTTATTTTTTAAAAAAAACAGTTTTTTGACCGGGGACGCGTAGTGTTTTCGAAAAATATGTTTTTTGAAAAAATCACTAAGTTATAAAATAGTTTAAAATATAATATTTACATATTCTGTATTCTTTTAATGAGCTAAATATGAATCTGTTTTGATTTTTTAAAAAAAACTGTATTTTGACCGGGGACGCGTAGTTTAGCCAAAAAAAATATTTAAAAAAAATTTTTTTTTTAATTTTTTTTTATTAATACCATTTTCTGAATCTTCTTAAAAAGCTAAACATGAATCTGCTTTTATTTTTTAAAAAAAACGGTTTTTTGACCGGGGACGCGTAGTGTTTTTGAAAAAAAAAGTGTTTTTTGAAAAAATCACTAAGTTATAAAATAGTTTAAAATATAATATTTACATATTCTGTATTCTTTTAATGAGCTAAATTTGAATCTGTTTTGATTTTTTAAAAAAAACTGTATTTTGACCGGGGACGCGTAGTATTTTTTTTTATTAATACCATTTTCTGAATCTCCTTAAAAAGCTAAACATGAATCTGCTTTTATTTTTTTAAAAAAACGGTTTTTTGACCGGGGACGCGTAGTGTTTTTGAAAAAAAAAGTGTTTTTTGAAAAAATCACTAAGTTATAAAATAGTTTAAAATATAATATTTACATATTCTGTATTCTTTTAATACGCTAAATATAAATCCGTTTTGATTTTTTAAAAAAAACTGTATTTTGACCGGAGACGCGTAGTTTATTTTTTAAAAAAATAAATTTTTGTAAATTTTATATAATTACCGTATTTTTTTTAAATTAAAAAAAACATTTTCTAACTTATCTTATAAAGCTTAATAAGATTTCCTATTAAAAATAATAGAAAATAGTCGTTTTGACTGGGGACGCGTATTTTAGTCATTTCCGATTGTATTTGGTTCCTAATTTTTAAATTTAATATAAACATTCTAAATATATAATAACTATTTGTTTTATTTATGGTTTCCTAAAAATATTTTGAAGAGAATATCCAGTGTAGTCTAAAGTTTTGGTTGCTATAATTTTTGTTATATAAAATAAAGGAAAAATGTTAACTATTTGGTAGCTTAATTTGAGTGCCTAAGATATTTTTTGAAATATTTTGAGATGAATAGAATTCGAATGCTATTTTTATTTTATATATAATAAAAATTAAAACACAAAATATACTAGCTGGAATAGTTTTTGACTGAGGGCCTAAATTTTTAGGTATATTTTGAAAATGATATTGGGAATATAAGTTTGTAGCTATTTTTTTGTTATATTTAATATAGAAAAGTAAAATGTTTACTCTCTGGTATCTTAACTTGAGTGCCTAAAATATTTTTTGAAATAATTTGAGATGAAGATAATTTGATTGCTAATGTATTTTATATTTAATAAAAATTAAATCACAAAATATACTATCTGGAATAGTTCTTGACATAGGGACTAAATTTTTAGGTATATTTTGAAAATGATATTGGGAATATAAGTTTGTTGCTATTTTTTGTTATATTTAATATAGAAAAGTAAAATGTTTACTCTCTGGTATCTTAACTTGAGTGCCTAAAATATTTTTTGAAATAATTTGAGATGAAGATAATTTGATTGCTAATGTATTTTATATTTAATATCCTACCTCCTCTTTTGCAATTGTATGTTATTGTTTTATATTTATATATTGGATCATGATGAGGCTTAGAACGGGAGATATAATAATTTGAAAAGGTATTCTTCTCATAATTACTCATAAACTGTTCTAATGTAGAAAAATCTTTTAGTTCTAAATTATATCTTAATTCCTATTAAATAAAAATATATTAAATAATAAAATCATCAATTTTAAAATTACAATTTTTTCCATCAGATAAAAAAAAAAAGTAAAAAAAAATTTTATTTAAAAAATTTATTAAATAATAAAAGCATCAATATTTTTTCCATTAGATAAAAAAAAAATACGTAAAAAAAAATTTTATTTTTTCCATTAGATAAAAAAAATACGTAAAAAAAAATTTATTAAAAACAAAAAAAAAATAATAAACAACTTTTTTTTAATATAAAGAAAAAAAAACAAGCGTGATGAATAAAAAAATAAAATAACTTTATATGAGCTGTTATATAAAGGCGTTCGGGAAATATAATGATGGATAGGTGCAACCCAGTTGCAAATATATTTGATGCTATTGACAATCTTTTAGATGGCAAATATAATCACGGATAGTTGCATCCTAATTTCAAATATAAATAAAGATAATGACAAAAAGTATGCTAATTTTTAATGTGGGAAAATTTAATAAAATTTTAAAATGAACAATAAAAATTAATAATATATAACACCTTATGAATTGGGATCTAACTAAAATTCTTCTATGAATTCCTTATAATATCAAATCTTCTAATTACTTTTTATCTTTAAATAATAGATACATACCTAAAAGTGTTTCATGGTTTAAAATAAATAGCTGATATTCTAATAAAAATATGATCCTTCACTTATAATTTTAAATTTTTCCTACATTTATATTATTTGGGATCTAAATTCTTCCTTATATCAAATCTTCAGTAGATTCTTTATTTTATTTTTAAAGATAGATACATACCTAAAAGTGTGTCAGGGTTAGCTGATATTATTCTAATAAAAACATGATACTTCACTTATAATTTCAAATTTTTCCTACATTTATATTATTTGGGATCTAAATTCTTCCTTATATCAAATCTTCAGTAGATTCTTTATTTTATTTTTAAAGATAGATACATACCTAAAAGTGTGTCAGGGTTAGCTGATATTATTCTAATAAAAATATAGATCTTTCATTTATAATTTCAAATTATTCCTACTCTTATATTACTCTAATTGTTTCAAGTTTTTTAGGCAAAAATTTTTGAAATTTGGCTTTAATAATAAATTAGAATTTATAAAGTGCTCTAAAATTATATTTCAGTTAAATTAATGAAGATAAAAGAAATTAAAATTACTATAAATAATTATTTAGGGTATAGTATAGGAAAAAGTGTTATTATCCTTCAAAAAAGCTTTATTTTGCTTTAATTCTAACATAAATCAAATAAAAAAAAGAGATAGAATCAAGTCAACAAATTCAATTGAAATTATTTTATTCATAAAATTTCATTTACAACTGTAAATCTAATAAATACATAAATAATTATAATCATTTAATAATTAAAATATAAAATGTGAATAAAATTTCATTTACAACTGTAATACATTAATAATTATAATCATTTAAAAATTAAAATGCGAATAAAAATAAATTTAACAATTTAAACAATACCAATAAGTTTTATATGGTTTTTTTTTAATTTTTTGACATTTAAAATGAAACCAGGACAAGCAAGAATCACATGATATGGAGGCATCATCATCTAAAGCAATATAACATTTTTGACAAATCCATGGCTCTGCCATAATCTTCTCATTTAATTCCAGAATCTTTTCCCACGCATCATTTGTGAAATAAGATTTTATTATTTTAAAATCCACATCATCATTTTTTAAATTGCATATCATTTTTTTTGGTACTAATGTGATCAGAATTTAACAACTCATATTACAAACTTTATTGAATGAAGACTGTTTACATAATTTATTTATGATCCATTCAGCCTTTTTTTTTTGATAAAGTTGTAAAAGGTTTATATAACTTTTCTGAGAAAAATAAATACATTAATATTAATTTTTCTAAGTTACTATGAGTTGTCTGACAATTGCCCAAATTTTTTATTTGTGTATCACCTAATTTTAAATATTAAAATTGTGATATTTTTAAATAAAATTATAATATTTTTAATAGATTCACCACTGATTCTGATATCAAATTATTCAATATACAAGTTTGGCTCAAATAATTTAACTTCAATAATTCAGATTTATAAATGGATATATTTATAAAGTTTTCCTTTTCATAAATAGCTATTGAATTTTTTAAATTATCTATAGATTGAAATATAGCATTTTGATATAAGACCATAGTGTGGTGATTCTATTTAAAATATCATACTTTTATTTAAAAATATTAAATTTCCTTGAATTTTATTAAATTATTTGAGCCAAACTTGTATATTGAATAATTTGATATCAGAATCAGTGGTGAATCTATTAAAAATATTATAATTTTATTTAAAAATATTAATTTACCTTGAATTTTATTAAATTATTTGAGCCAAACTTGTATATTGAATAATTTGATATCAGAATCAGTGGTGAATCTATTAAAAATATTATAATTTTATTTAAAAATATTAATTTACCTTGAATTTTATTAAATTATTTGAGCCAAACTTGTATATTGAATAATTTGATATCAGAATCAGTGGTGAATCTATTAAAAATATTATAATTTTATTTAAAAATATTAATTTACCTTGAATTTTATTAAATTATTTGAGCCAAACTTGTATATTGAATAATTTGATATCAAAATCAGTGGTGAATCTATTAAATATCATAGTTTTATTAGAAAATATTAATTTACCTTAAATTTATTAAATTATTTGAGCCTATTAGAAAATATTAATTTAAAAAAAATTAAGACTTTATTCGAAATCTAAACTTACACACTAAAAAAAATCCTAAACACAAACTAAAAAAAAACAGAAACAACTCAAACAAACTCTCGAAACTACAAAAATCACAAAGCAGACAAAAATATAACTCACCACTGATCTCTTTATTAATAATTAAATTAAATCAAAATAAATTAATTCGTCATTTTAATATAAAAAGAAATTAATTTCATAAAAAAAAATAATAAAAAAAAAATCCACATATAATATATTACATCTAATTTTTCTATCCAATCAACCTTATTTTAATCGGTTGATTGGCATTTCGCGTAAACAAAAAAATATAAAATGTACATATTTACAAATACGACATGCCACCCCTTTATGGGATCAGGGCATGTCGATAAACAAAAAAATTTTTTTTTTTACATGTATACAAAAAATGTTCATGCTCACCTTCATGTTAAATGAATATTCCTCACCCTAAGCCGACATGGGACTGCTCCAAAAATCCCCTGCACTAGTCGTCGGTAGAACCTCAGTAGCTATAGTAGCCATAGCTCTGCAACATATCTACCTCTCGATGTCCACGAGATTCCCCTAATTGTGGCACTCCATCATTATAACTTGGTCTTTTCGGAGGACGCCTATCCTATCAGCAGGTATGGCCGGTCCCATAAGAACAGAAGTTGTCGGCTGCTCCACATTCATCTCGTTATATATCTTTTTTTTTCCTCATATGGTTTTACCCGCGGATTATCCGATAACACCCCCATAGGTACACGATCCCTGGGTAGTTGCGTGCATTGATGTCTAAGATGACCCTCTCCCTGACAATTATAACATTTTTTCCGTCTAATCCCATACGTCGGTGGCTGATTTTCCTTCCGGCATCCTTCTCCCAGGGTCATACCATCGTGCTTCTTGATTAATGTGACCTGGAGATAGAAATCTCCAAGGTCCACAAGTCGTGAGATTGTTTCCATTTCTCGAAGGTGACAAAATATTTGTGGATATCTGGTTCAAGGCTATACGTGGACCCTTTCTTTTTTTTGGTTTTCAGAAATTAGTAGTAATGACTTAATTTTTTTGAAAAAAAAAACTTTATAACAACAAAAACTTCAATTTAAAAAAAAATATAATTTACTGGTTCCAGGATATGCGTTGACCTTTTCTTTATTTTAGTTTACAGAAAATGGTAGTAATGATTTCTTGTAAAAAAAAAATTGACTTTATAACAACAAAAACTTCAATTATAATTTAATATTTCGGGGAATTTAATTGAAAAAAAAAAAATAATTTTATAATTTAAAAAAAAAATCTTTTACAAAAAAAAATTTAAATTAACTAACACTTTTATAATTTAATTTTCCTTAAAATTCACTTCATACACAAAAACAAAATCAATCCATGATTGCGTTCCAAAACACAAACACGTTTTAAACTTTTCCTATTTCCTTTTACGGTATTCCACACATACACAGACCATTAAATTATAAACAAGAGAAAAGAGGGGGAAAGGAAAAAACTCAAACAAAAACTTTTAATTAATTATATCTTTTTTTATTTAAAAAAAAATATTTTCCTAGTACCAATACCAATGTTCAACAACCATGATTTATCCTATAAGGCTATGAACAAAAATGTATTCACAAAATGAATTACAACTTTTCTATTCCTTTTATTTTTTACACTTTTATTCATTTACAATACATATATTACCACAATTTCAATCTTTTTTCCTTGTTTATTACCGACAGCCGGAACATTAAACCAGTTTAACTTAACATTACATATACATACATATACTTCAATTACCCGTAATATTACCGAGATAACCTCCTTATTCAATTTCACTTTTTTACATAAACATCTATCAATAAATTCTAATACCATCATATAATAATACATAAACTTAAACAAAAAAGGTTACCGACCGTTCACGTACATTTTACTCCTTCATGCTTTAACTTTGCATAAATATATATATTTACCACTTTAAGATGAGCCCCTCTCCTATTTGATCCTTTAACTTCCCATTCCCACATACAATATGTTACCCAAACCTTCATTTACACATTATATATTTGCTCGGAAACGAGTCTAATCCTACGGGATGCAACTTCATTTTATTTATATATATATTTTCATATTTATATTATCATATGAGGTACCTCAGATTTACTCCCGCGGTCGTATATGATCATTGTGGCGCACCACTGTGCCGCCCATTTCTAATTGAATCAAATTCAACTTTGAACCTCTGTTTACCCCAACAATGCCCTTGGCCCATTTCTTGCCCTTCCCGTCAAACAAAAGAGTCCATACTTTTTCTCCAACTTCAAACCTAATCTTTCGGTCCTCCAAAACTCCCTTCTCGTGACTCTCGGCCCTTAGAAAATCTAGGGGAACCCTAGTCCTCCGACCCAAAAACAATTCAGCAGGTGTCACTCCCTCCTTATTCCTAGAATTGAGGTAATACAACTGGGATACACCCCATTCCCCTGATTGCCGGCCTTTCTTATCCAATTCTTAACAATTGCTACCATCCTCTCAGCTTGACCATTTGAGCTGGGATGATAGGGCGGGGTCAAAATGTGTCGAATCCTAGACTCTTTACAAAACTGCTTGAAATTTTCGCTAACAAAGGCAGGTCCTCCATCAGATACAATGGTATCCGGCAATCCAAACCTGGCCATTAATGCCTTCAATTTCCTTACCACAATTTTCGTGGTATATCCATGTACCTCCTCGTACTCTATCCATTTCGAATACGAATCCACTACTAAAAAATATGACCTTTTGTCTAAATCGAAAAAATCAACATGTAAGCGTTCCCACGGCTTTCTCGACCTAGGCCATATCTGACCCACCTCCTTCCGGGGCATCGCCGCACACGAATTACACGGTTCACATGTCCTTGTGATATTTTCAATATCTTTTCCCATACCCGGCCACCAAACATATTCACGGGCCCACGATTTCATCTTCCCTTGACCTTGATGTCCAGCATGTAACAAATTTAAAATTTTACTCCTTAATTTGAACGGAATTACAGCACGATTACCCCTCATTAAACAATCATCTATCACAGACAATTCCTCCTTCACCTTTTTAAAAACTTTACAATCCTCCTCCCAAGTCTTTTTCCCCATTACACATAACTTTATCCTAGTCATTTCTCTATCTCTCAATGTACTCAACTTAAGATCCTCCCAATTGGTAGGACCCCCTTTGAGCATATGCGAAAGCGAACAAACCAGGGCTTTTTCACTGTTTCGAACCTTATCCTTGTTCCCTTCATCATTTTCTTCACTTAATCCTAATCGGGACAAACTATCAGGCAAACAATTCTCTTTACCGCAACGATATCGGATCTCCACATTAAAGCTGCCCACCAACAACAACCAACGTTGTAACCGGGGAGACATCATTAACTCCCGATTGTTTTTCCGAAATAAGTGAATTAACGGTTTGTGATCAGTAAAAATTACAAATTTTTTACCAATCAAATATTCACGACATTTTGTCAACCCGAAAATCACAGCCAGGGCCTCCTGTTCAATCACAGAATATCTGGTTTCCATCTCACGAAAAACACGCGAGAAAAACAATACAGGTCTCTCCAAGCCCTCTATTACCTGTAATAACGCACCACCAACTCCTTTATTTGAGGCATCTACCGCCAAAACAATTTCCAAGTCATTATCAAAACACACCAAAACTGGCTCTTTTCCAACTTTTTCCTTTAAAATTTCAAAAGCAATCTGCTGTACATCCTTCCACTCATAATGAATTCCTTTTTTCAATAAATCATATAACGGCGCCGCCACCTTTGCAAAATCTTCCACGAACCTATGGTAATAATTGACCATACCCAAAAAAGACTGCAACTCAGCCTTAGTGTCAGGTCGTTTCATGTTCGATATATTCTTCAAATTTTTATCCAAAGGTTTCACTTCAATTCCATTAATCCGATGACCCAAATATTCAACCTCCATTACCCCCAGAACACTTTTCTCCTTACTAGCTCTCAAGTCTTTATCACGAATTCTCCTAAACACTTCCTCCATACGTTGATTATGCTGCTCCGGCGTCACTCCAGTGATTAACACATCATCCATATAGTAAAATACTCCTTCCAATCCTTGAAAAACTGACGCCATGGTCCGTTGAAAAATGGGAGCAGATACACTCAACCCAAATGGTAATCTACAAAACGCAAACAACCCCTTTGGAGTCGTTATCGTCAATAATTTACGGATCTCCTTTCTCAAAGGTAACTGCAAATACGCCGACGAAAAATCCACCTTGGAAAAATATTTCGCACCCTTCAACTGAGCCAAAATCTCTTCAATCCTAGGCAATGGATATTTAACCTCCACCACCCATCGATTTACCGTGACCCTGAAATCCGCACAAAGTCTCAATTTACCATTTGCCTTTTTAACAGGCACTAACGGAGTTGCCCAATCGCTATATCCCACAGGAATAATAATGCCGTCCTTCACCCATCTATCTAATTCCTCATCGATCTCCTTCCTCCATTCGAAAGGAACTCGCCGACAAGCCAAAAAGATCGGTGAAAAACCCTCCCTCAGTTGAACATCAACTTGATAATCATTTAAACAACCTAATTTTTCATCAAAAATAATGCCATACTGCCTTACTAGAATAGGAATAGCTTGATTAACCTTATTCCAATCCTCTTTTCCCCCGGCCACAATTTGCTTCTCATTTCCCTCATCATTATGATCCAACTTACTCGATTTCTCCATTATCTCCTCCGAAATTTCACAAATTTTATTATCAGTATTATCCAAATTTTCACTCTCTCCAACATCCATTATTACATTATCACTAGTATCAAAAATATTCCAATAATTATTGGGAGGACCAAGCTTGGTAATCCAATCCCACCCCATAACAGTCTCAACATTTTCCTTTACTACCCATAAATCAAAGAAAAATATAGTATCATTAAGATTAACCCCCAATTTGGCCTTTCCCAACACAGCGACTTTCGATCCATCAAACTGCCTGACACACATAGCCTCTTTTTCCAGTTTGTCCCCAGGCCAATACTTAT